TTACTATTCAAAGAAGCTCAGAACCTCAAATTTTTAAATGCTTAATATAACAAGAGTGAAACAATTGTTAAGCATCAATTGACTGTACGGTATTTATCTCGAATTATTTGCTGGTTAACAAACTTAGAACATTGTCTTGAACTTTATTCTACTTTTTTATTATCATTAGGATTCTAACTGATTAACATGCAGTTTGATCAGGTATCACGGAAATATCCTACAAAAGTTGGGATATTACTTATTTTTCTGTTACACAATAAACAAAATGATTGATAAACAAGTATCCGATAAATAGTATTTACAAAAAGTACTTTAAGATGGTGACATTTGGCCAAAGTTTATAGATCCAACAAATAATGATGAACACAGTTTAGTAACCAAAAATAAGAAACTTGGGAGCTTAGTAATTGAGTCAATTGTCTTCTGACCACCAAGGTTACAGCATCGAACATCAATTAGTCTAATCTGGTTCAGACGGTCGGATAGGCTTTAAAAATTATTTACGTTCTCAAGTCATTGACAAACAAATAGAATTCACTTGAACTAGAATCCTGACTCGACAGTTGAACGGCTTAGTAACATGTAGTTTGATCAAACACATCGAGCGTAGTCACTAGCACCCTACAATTCCAATATAACTCAAATACATATTTATGAATATTGAATTGTAAATGCTGATTAACTTCACTACCTAATGGTCAGCGAGGTTATCGTCAAAAACACTAGATGTGAACTTCCATAATCATTTGTGTAAAAAAAAGATCATATGTACCTAGATTTTGAAAAAATCCATTATTAATCGATTTTAATAAGTTATTAATATATTCTGAAAGATGTTATAGCGTATATCTTGGTGTGGGGTGTGGCCCCCTAAGAAAACCATCTGCTTCAGTTTGGGCACCCGGGCAATATCACAGCCCTCACACATATCGAATGAGACTTGTGTGGCGCATATGTATTTGGTGCCTCTTTGTACCAATATCTATGTGTTCAAATAAATAAATATATCTTGGTGTTCTGATAAACGGAAAACTTGCTAAGAATATATAACCAATACTGATCATTTGTGACTTACTAATAACATTGAGATTAATCTATTTTCTATATATTGTATGAACTGTTCAATATAGTTTAATAGCTCAATATAAAATTTAGGTTAAATATAGACAATGACGAACTCTACGTCAGTGTAATTCATACAACGATTTTACTGAATGTTTTAATTCCCAAGTAATTCACATTTAGTGTACAGGTAGGCAAACCAAAAACAATTTTCTAGATGAAAGAGTTCTGTGGAGTTTACCTAAATTTGATAATATTAATTGTAGATTAATCACAGTTGAGATAATAGTGGGAACTAGGGAGCACTGAATAGCTGTTTCGTATTAATATGGGACTCCTCAGCAGTGTCTACTGATGATCCCGTCAGGAATCTAACCAAAGTCTTACAGGTTTCATGGTGAAAGTTTAACTGTTATAAACACTGAGTTTGTTTCTAGTGGTATACATTTCAAACGAATTAATTTGAAATATAGTTGTTATAATCTCTTCTTACGGTTATGACCCAGCTATTCCTATTGCTTAGTATTCTCGGACACCGATTCACTCGACAAGTCCCCAAATCAGAACACGGTTGAACAGGAAAGAGATTATATCCCAAATAACACGGTTAGGTGGAAGTAAGATGCCAGTAAGAAGCACAATAGGGAAAAACGTCAGTATATTTATAGTTTTTTACATGAGAAGATTCTAGACTATTCTCCAACTATCGACTAGTGCTGACTGGATAGGAATTAGCCAATCAGCGTGCAGCAAAACGATCGTGCATTGAGCACGCTTTAATCCAGTCAGTCCCACTAACAATAGTTCCACGATCAACGAATACTACTGGGGGAGACTGTTTCATTATACCTATGTCTGAATTCTGCTAATTACGAATTCCCACTATAGCTGTAGGAAATTACATCGAAGTCACCACTGGCTTGACTATTGTACTTTAAATTATATGGGTAATAATAATTATTAAACATAGTTCTGTCATTGATGCATGTGAGTCGTAAAAATGTTAAAGTAACCTGTACACAACAAAAGAAGTTCAGCTTTTCCTAGCTAACGTTGTAAATGAACCTTCGAAATAGATAACTCCAACAATCCTACATCAAAGGCTATAAGCCTCTAAAAAAAAGCAACGAAACTAAGCGCAAAGACATTCTTAAAAGATTTTCAACTTTACTTCAGAAAATCTTCACAGTTGTTCAAGTGATTTTACAAGACTAGTACTTAAAAAACGTTCGTTTTAGAAAACCACTAATTATTCATTCTATAAGGATTTATTTATCAAGTATGACTTATTCAAATTAACGAACAACAAACAGTACATTTAAGGAAGTCATAACAGTTAGAAGTAAGATTTTAGGACAGAGTCCTTCAATGGTACAAATTATTTTAGATTTAATAAAAAAAACTGGGGCTAGATCTTGAATTGAACTTGCTAATAATCCAGTATCACTGAAACATTGACTCAGTCAATTTTTGAATCCACTTGGGAGACAAATAGAACTACTTTCTTTGAGGATCTATTCAAATGTTAAGAAAGTTGAACTGCGTAAACATTTATTTTAATGACAAGGTTAATTCAAGATAAATAGAATGGTTGTCTAGTGCGCACAACACATTAATTTTAATTATAGGTGTTGCTTACTCAGGTATGAGCCATCTCTAATTGTGAGGGCTAATGATAGTGTCTGATCCCCAAACCGAAGTAGGCCAAGTGGGTTTCGAACCCGGGACTTAGTGACTGAAAGTTGGAGGCTATAATCACTAAGCCACAGACGTAATTGGTTAGAAAGTAACCGATGCCTTTAGTTGTTTGTAATATGATATTTAGCTTCCTTGTTTTATTGCAAATAAAGTCCGGTAGTTTAATACTACAAAGGTAATCTAGGTACGGTCAGTTACCGTTCTCATTTTTTGAAACAACTCAAGTGTTAAATTTTCCCAAATATAACCGCCAGATATACTCATAAAAATGGTTACTCATAAACTGTTTTTCATGTATGTACTCAACGTCATTTTATGACTACTAAGTCTTAAACCCACTGTCAACTTTTCTGAACTGTTATCGTCTATCAACTTCGATGAATACAGACTGCAGATATTGAAATTTGTCTTATGGACTGTTAGTAGTATGTTTATATATGCGACTATTTAGTAAAAAACCTTTAACATGTATGCGATAATTGCTCATTAAAAAATGAACACAGAAAAACTCACAGGTAAAAAGGAGTAGGTATTCTTATCTTCACACATCAATGTTATATGAATGAAGAGACTACATAGGATGTAAGTGTTGTTGGTTATAACTTATTTTACTGAAATGACAAGAATAAAATTTCCTACAACGAAATCTAACCGTGAACTTGTCAAACAGTCCACAATGACGAAATCTACTTCTAATCATCACTTAATCTAGACTCAATATTATATGAGAAAATTAATACTTCTGGAATGTTGATAAATGTGGTATAGTTTTATGATATAGAAAAGGGGTAAATTACGTTGGGGTTATATATATACTCAAAATTCTTGTTTGTGTAGAAAACGTTAACATTAAAAAATATATCCATGTTCTCAAAACTATCCCTTTAGTTACATAATTCTCAAGAAGTCATTACCTATAAGTAATTTTTTCATTTCCCAATGCTAGTCCATGAACTAGTTGTTCAGATTATTACAAGTGAATTTGTAAAATATATACTAACGTTGCTAATTTACTTTTTGAAAAAATAATCACTTTAAACGATCGTGAAGTACATTTTACAGATCGATAAAAGCTGTTCTCCTCAACTAAAAATTCTTATACAGTGTAAAAAGAAAGAGCAGAGTATTTACTGGAAAAATATCCTTCTAAAATCATTAACAGAAGGGGTTTGATAGATATCATAGTAATTTTAATAGGTGCAATCATGAGTTAATTGAAGCTAGACCAGCTTGGAAAACCTGAAAGCACTAAACGGCCGTTTCATTCTGCTGTAGGACTCCTCGGCAGTGAGCATCCACGATCCCGCCTCGCGAGATTCAAACCTAGGACCTATCGGTCTCGCGCACAAACGCTTAACCGGCATCATATCAACTAGTGAGACTGGAAAGGTTTGAAACACATTTGAAAAGTAATCCAGGACACAAAATTAAACAGAATTCCTTTAGTTTTAAAATCTGCATTTAAACAATTTTGAATATTGTTAAGACTAAATGGAACTAATCAAAGAATCTTTCAGTAAGAAATCGTCTCAAACCATATTTTAGAAAAACTACCCAATGATTTTGAACAACGTACGGAAGTTCAGCAACAAAATACTATGAAAAAATTATCCAGAGAAATAATAGTAAACTCCTATTCTAAATCAAATAACCAGTAAAATATAGCACCACTCAACGGATACCATACAGTATTAGGATAGATAATTGAATTGTTTCTAAATGAAAACTTTATAGAAAGCAAATTTGAATGATTGCATCAGGTTTCGAATAGTAATGAGGGTGTAAACTAAAAAAGACCTAATGCGTTTAGTGGGAAATGAAGTGATGAAAAATCACCGTGTAATGGACCCTGTAATCATGTTGGCATAAAAGTGCCACAACAAATAGCAATGGGACGGATTTAAGTACCAAAAAAACCACAAACAGGAATTATTACTCGTATTTTCAGTGATCATCACACTATCACGATAAAAAATTTCGTAAGACAAGGTTTTCTGATAATTTGTAAAGCCTTTTGACAGAAACCAGAAGACCAAGTTCGAACCTAAATATTTAAAACTATGCTTTACAATGGTTAGTTTGGTAATTTATACAATACAGTTTGAATAAAAGCTACCAACTTTAACGTCATGAATATAAGGAGAATTTACGAATTAGATGAGTGGTCCTCCAACTAACAGATTAGTCAATACACTAGAATAAACAGGTATATCAAGCATCAGAAATTTAACGAGACTTACTATAATAGGGAACATTCCTTATCCTTCTAAGATCCGTGTGGTTCTGAGATAGTAATTGGGAAGTATCTGATGAGGAGGAAGAAGAGAAAGATGAAGACACAGTAGACGCTGGGGAACTAGAATGTGAATCATCTACCGGGTTATTTTCATCGCGTGGTTGGTCGAAATCTAGACACCATGACTGAGGACGTTGAGAAGGTTGACAATGACTGAAAATTTGTTCTTCATACAATTTTAAACTATCTGTCATTGCAAATCCCTTAGGTCGAGATATTGCACGTGTGCTAGGTATTTGTATCCGGAAATAATTTTGGTTATTAGTTCCAGAAAAACTAGAGCGGATATTTTTCAGTTGATCTGAAGTATTAGATCCTGAAATTTTATTCCCAGTAGGTGGGATATTCCGGTGTACAGGTGAGTTGTTATTTCTTGGGTCTCGAGAGTTTAGCAGAGTCCTTAAATCATCATTCCGTCCTTGGGTATTGAAGTCAGTAGTGCTATTAATCATGGTAGGCTTTGCTAATCGAGCCTGTGGGACACAATTAGTTTTTATATCTTCGATCCCCATGGACTGAGCATTGGGCATCGCTTTGACGTAATGATCACAAGATGAATGGAAAAGCCTCTGGGACGAATTAGGGGATAAGACGTTCGTTAAAACACTTCGATATCGAAGCTTAGCACGTTCAGGATTTTGGTCAATTAAGCTGAAACGCCTAGCCCCATTAGATAGTAAGTTTTCATAAGAACTATAGGAATGTAATGGCTCCGGAGGATTTCGAACACTGATAACGTTGGTGGGATTCTTAGGAGGTAAGTTGCTCACTACTCTTGTTGAATTTGTAGCGGAAATACGCACTACAGCAACACCACTTTTTTTAACACTGATGTCTGAATGAGGTAGTGGTGGTCGGTTGTTTAAAGCAACATTTTTATTGTGTAAACTTGTTATTGTAGTTTGTCCACTAGTTGATTTTGGATAAAATGAATAAGAACTGTCATTATTCCCGTTCAATAATAAAGCAGCATTACCGTTAACGGAAATGGAAATTGAATGTGAATTTGAGACAGGACAACGTACAATAGGCTTTGTAGTTATAGACAAACATGGTAGGGCAGAAAAATTAAGACTAGAATTGTCAGTCTGACTAGTAGAGAGAGAAACTGAACTGCTATCGACCGGTATGCCAAGGTCGTATAATCCTGGCTCTCCAATACGGCCTAATGGCGAGACTGAATTTAAATTAAATGAGTCATCTCTTAACAACTTTTTGTCTGGTGTTTCATTGGAAGCTGAGTTAGTTGCGCCAATCACTATTGAAATACCATTAGCATGTGGGGTGAGAGCTGTATGGCGAATTGATTTTTCGTATTGGCTGTTTACTAACTGTAAATTATTTGTACGCGTCACATTTATGTCTGTTTCGAGTCCATTTGTAGGGGTGTGTTTTTTATTTTGTTGATATATGCTAATCCTGTCATATGAATTTGTAATGGGACTTGGAGATTTTCTTTGTATCACTAGGCTGTGTCGACGTTGCACAGAATTTGCTTGTGATGCTGTACTGTCCTTGCAATTGGATTCGATCTTTCGTGGCGGAGACACAGATCCGTATCGAAAATATGACAAGTTAATCTTTCCTTGTGGTGACTGAGACCTTTGGATTCGAACTCGTGATCTACCACGTACGCTGACACTTATATTCTTCTGCCTTAAACTAGAGTTGTTCATTTTAACCGTTCGACTGATAAATGTTGTTACGTGACTTCTAGTGACATGGATACACCGTTTCATAGGATCATGAGAGTGGTAATAATAAATGAGTTGTTTTTGGAAACGTACTGATTAATGGTGTGTAAATGATTTAAATTCATGATGCAATAAGCCACCTACGTACTGCTTTCAGTTCACAGTTCTTTCAAGGTCGTTTAGACATCCACCCACTGTTGGTAATTACTATTTTGTTCAATATCTCGCCAATCGAGAATCGATTAGGCAAATCCGTTTTATTGATACAGTGACATGATAGGAATACTTGTCTGTCATTGTGCAGTTGAGATTTTATAGGTAAGAGAATAACGGAACGTCAATCTCCACATGAATGCGGAATTAAGTATTGAACGTATTGGTTGTATAGAATTTAGAAGGCACAAAACTAGATCTGTCCTACCATATCAGTCTTTTTATAAACTGACCTGTAATCATTTTACTTAATTAAAATGGGTTGGGATAGGTGGATTTTAGAATTCAGGCACAATGATTATCTGCATTCAAACCTAAATAAAAATTAGAAATTATATTATATAAAACAACTACTTTTATTCAGTAAGTTTCATCTTGAATTTTAGGAAATGGGAATTTTCACTCAACCATTCTAAGTTTAATTCACTTGGTATCGTTTTACTTGAATCTTCCCATTGATGTTTTAGGACTGAAATTGATCAGTCTCTTATTGGCATATGTGCATACTGTGCGTATGCCTCGATATTGCCTTAATTTACGAGCATTATAAGCAAAGATGTTTAGTGGCTAGCAGTGGGATCCAGGACGCGCGTTTCGTCCTGTTTAGGAATTATTGTAACAATAAATATTCTAAGATCTTTTATGCAATTGGTTCCCTTTATGAATTTAAATAGAGGAAGAACAAACATTGATGCAGAATAGTATGAATTCATAATATTTCGTGGTTTCTTATCAGCTGCTTACAAACCAAAAATGTGATAGAATTTTTTACCTTGAGATAGTATGAAACAATTGACATAAATGAATTTAAATAACTGTAGCAGCAATTTTGAAGACTCTCCCGGTCTCCTACATTGTACAAGCATTCCATGTACCTAAATAAATGGTTGCTCTGGTTGTCAGAAGGGGCATCGGCCTCGTAACTTCCGAAGGAACTCGACTTTCATCATGAGGCGTCATAGTTCTTCTAAATGAAGACCTTCTGACTCCTGGGGCAGAATTTAAAAGGTTTGAATATTTTTTTCTGGTTAGCGTTTTTTAGCGAGTTAGTTTTCTACGGGATGGGGTCGCTGACCCCATGTCCAACCCTCCTCCTTTATCCGTTAGTAGACGCCGGAGGGACTCCAGGCGGATTACAATAATAACTATATATATATATATATATATATATATATATATATATATATATATATATATATATATATATATATATATATATATATATATATGCTAGAACAGGTCAGAGGTTAAAAAACGAATTAATTCACCCACCCTGAATTAATTCAGGGTCAATTGTTTCACATTATCTCAATGTGAAAAATTCTATCACATTTTTGGTTTGTAAGCAGCTGACGAGAAACCTCGAAATATTATGAATTCATACTATTCTGCATCAATGTTTGTTCTTGCTGTTTTTAAATCTAAGATCTGTCTAACTCAAGAATTATCATCGATTAATCAATAGCGTTAATTAGTTTACTATATTTGATGTTAAATTTTTGTTCTTAGCGATTTACAACTTTATTCTTTCTTTTCATATTTACTTTTCTGATTGTATCAATTGACACATTGAATAAGGACTTGACAAAGAATTAAATACTGCTCGCAGAAAATTTGAAGTTGATGAATTAACAAAAGACCATTGAGTCCCAGTTTATGGAGTAAGTTACAAAGATAACTAAGGAAAGATCAAACAAAAAACACATCCAACTTCTCAAAAGCCTCGAAAATTAACCGGTTAAAAATAAATTTTCTGATTGTATTGAAATTTGAACAGTGTTAACTGTCGTCGATGATTCTCGGATATTTAAGCTGATTATATTCTTCCTTTATGGTTATTAAGTAAATGTTTCATACATAATCTAGTTCATCCACTTTTTAGATTTGCATTCCATTTAAATGAGAATCAACTGTCACTCCCTAATCAATACAATCTTTACTTCAAAACAATGACATACCCACAGACTGAATATACATATAATACTGACCAATTGTTTGGTATTTAAATGGGTGATAAATGTATATTTTATAATTTGTTATTGTTAAAATTATCGATCATAAATGATAACTGCCATTATATTTGTGAAAAATTGTTTAAACAAAATGATTAACTTGAATATTTTGTGCAGTTCAAGGTAATTTTCATTATGAACTAAAGTAATTTGAAAAACTTATGGCTAGAAAAATATTCTACACTCGTCTGGACATCTCTAGACTATTAATTAAGAATTTAATAATCTAAATTCTCAATTTCAATCAGTTCCTGATATTACATGATTCATACCCAATGTATTTGGTGTAACAGCTACTTCACTTTTGATATAATGAACTTCATGAGTGACATATTCCCACTAGAAATTTGAAAAAGACAACTAAAAGAAAATCGATGAACCTTGCCCTCTTTAAAACTAGGTGTCATTGTTGGATGTTGATAATAACGACTATGTACTGGAGTTTCCGGTTGGTCGATATTACTTAAGAATTGAACAATGATTGATCCATTCTAGTGGGAACTGTTCTATTGCGGTTCAATAACGGTAGCTGACAAATAATACCTCAACAACTAGCCACTAACACAGGAAGAAGACGAAGTGTAAGGAAAGTTGGTATTCAATCAGAACAACTTAAAACGGTACAACTCACTACATATTTAGTAACAAAATCATGCGCCTCAAGAATATTAAAAAATTAGCTGACTAGAAGTTGTGGCAACCAGGTGGAAAAGGGACAAAGGTAATGTGAAAATTTCAATTAAAAAAACACTTAGGGTTACCGTTTCTAGTAGGATATTAACATTACTAATAAAAAATTAAGTAATTCAGTAGTTGTCTTAGAAGTTAATACGTGACCATAACTTTCCTCCAACTATTACGTCAATTATCAATAAAATAGATTTTTAAAATACTGATTAAGACTATTTTGTTTTAACGATTTAACCCACTGGTTGTTTGGGTAGAAATTTACTTCAATATGGCTCCTAAAAGACCGAGTATCCTTTAGCATATTTTTTCCCAAACCAACAAGAAGAGTGATCCAACACATTTTGCTCAAAATCATTTTCAATTACTTTTTACAGGTAACAAATTCTAACGCTAGATAATGATAGAAATTAATAGTAACAAGATTTATGTCATTGAAGCGTTCAACAAACTTATTTAATTTTTTCTACTCTCAAATTCTTTTACACGTTCTACTTTAAAAAATATTTAACTGAAACTAACCTTAAAACCGAAAATTAACATTACTTAGTAAAAGTAAAAACCATTTCCTCTCTAAATCACAAAAAAAAACATGCAATCCACCGTGACCGGTGAAGCTAATCCGTGTAGAGTTTGAGGCAGTTACCCACCGAAGACAGTGGAAGATGATCGTCGAGAATCGTGATTTGGTTGAAGTTAGAAATTAACACTGTTGGATGTTGGCTCAGTGGTTCAGAGGTTTAGCATTCGCGTGTGAGACCGAAGGTTTTGCGTTCCAGTCCCATGTGCGGGATCGTGGGTGTGCACTGTTGAGTAGTCTCATGCTAAGACGAAGAGGCCGTTCATTACTTCAAGGTCTTCATTGGTGGTCTTACATTGGTCGATTAATGATCTTAATAATCATTTGAAACTTGAATTTGATAATAATTAATCAACCTGTGACAAATATACATACAGAATGCTAACCAAACACATATTAATAATGGTTTCTTTCAGAACTGATTTTAAAAATCGGAAATACAATGATAACTTACTAATAATGCACAATTAGAAATAAATTGTAATCAAAAATAATCCAGGAAATCTATTCATTGGCATTATCAACTTGAAAATTAACCAGTTTTCACTAATTATTGGTCCCCTGGAGTGTAAAATAATATTTTGCATATTAATATATATATAGTATACCGAAAAGCTGACTATAGTTACATAAACTAAGTAATTGAAACATGAACATTACAGTTTACATTAAAATAACGACATTCATTGTAAATATTAGTAAGTGAAATCACATCCAACCCAAAAATCTTTGAACTGTGATTTTATCTTTTTAACGATTTCATTCTGTATGTATCTAACATTGTATGCAGGTTTATTTTAAATGACAGATATAGGGGACAGTTAAAGAAAAACTTTGGTTACAGTAAATCTGGAAATATCATACTGACTAAAGTGGAAAAACTTTAGTGTTGGATTACCACCTAATGTCTCAATGATAACCTCATTGTATTACATGAAAAAATTTATATATTCGAGAACTGAACTCAGGACCTTTAGTCTTGCGCGTGAACGCTTATGTTTAAATCACTGAGTCGGTATTCAGATCTTCAATGGTGGCCTGAATTAGTTTGGTTCATGATTTCAACATTCTCCACAATCCCTTACTGACGATCATCATGTGCTCACTAGTGACTAGCTTCAATAGGAACTCTCTGAAGTACTAGTGAGAAACTGTAACAAATGGAGCTAATCCATGTCGGATTTGAGGATGTTACCCACTGAAGACAACAGAAAATACTAGCACAATGTCGTGGACTGATTTATTGCCGCTTGTAGGGTTGTGGATGTGCACTGCTGAAAATTTCCATACTAGGATGAAATAGTCGTCCAGCGCTTTTGAACTAGATCCGTTTATGACATCAATGGAATTTATTGCACGTTTAACTTGTCTCCACATCCTTTACAATACAATGAATATCTTCGTTACTACTTTTGTATCCATTGTGAATCAAATGTTCATTCTTATTTCAGGATATCGTAACTTTTCTAAGTACTTGTAATTCTACGAAAAGAAACTTCAAAGATGACGGATTATTTGACCAATGGTCGTATATCTATCTTACGAGGACTAAGATAAGCAAAGTGAAGTAAACAAAATAGCAAGTATCAATTTATTTTATACAATGTAAAATGAGTC